ACCCTAAAATAAAGACTGTCGTATTAACCGGTGTGAAAGGGATTTTTACCTCTGGAGTGATGGTCTTTCCAAAGCAGCTCACAAAAAAAAGTTATATATACCTATATAAATACTAAATAAATCCTTTTTAATATTTTTATTGCTTCTCTACATAGCTGTTGTGATAAAAACGTTAAATAAAAAGTAGGGCCGGGACTTTAAGTGAAAAATGTTAACACAATTAATTTCCTTTATTTTTCATGAGTTGGAACTTTTGTCTTACGTTCCTGGTTTGCCTTTAAATCTGACACACAAGAAGCATCTGAAAACAACAGCTATCAATGACAAAACTGCTTGTCTTGGCCCACTGGGGGTTAACTTTTGCTTCACAACACAATCTGATGGGAGACTGGAAAAGACCGTCATTGTGTTCAAGTTGTGCTAAAGGGAGTTAGCCTATCATCGAACCTATTCTAGTTTAAAACAGCGTCTCGATATTAAACCTGTTGCAGAAACATGGATGCCCCCAGGCTAATGTGAGAAACAACACTCCATATTTCTAACAAAGTTTTTTTTTTCTTTTCTTTTTTTTTTTAAATCAGAGAAATTACATGGATGATCAGGGTTTCTTAAAAATTTTAAAACTTGATTGGGTATATCAAAACTTTTCACCAATCTAATGATTTAATAACCCAAATAACAAATAAAAAACAATACGTCTTTGATGATGTGCTTGTGTGTCTCTTAATTAAAAATATAGCAGCAAAAAGGGTTTATGAATAAAAAATATTAGTTATTTTTGCCAACATATGGTTTTCGATTAAAATGCGACAAATTACAAACCCTGCAATTAATGTGATTAAAGATTTTAATTGAGTCTCACCACTAATCAAAAGGCAAGTTGAATTTTTCTGAATGCCTCTCAAACATGGCAAAATGTAATGTTTCAGTTGTTGATGACTTTTTATTGGATTCAGCTCACATTTGCTGAAATGTGCAACACCAATGGACTTGATTGAATGATTGAACTCTGGTCCTCATGGCCCTTATGTTTTAATTACACCTGCCTCCTCTCACATCTGATTCAAATGATTGCTTTATCATCTAGTGCTTTTTATTCCTGTTTATCAGCCAATAACGCATGTTTGGTTTATGGCAGAAAGGAAGCACATAAAGGCACGAGGACCAGCGTTGAGAAATGTTGATCTAAGGCGCAAACTAATGCAGGAAAAGACAGCAGCGGTGTATTCAAGGATGCACATAATGTGGCGTGCTTCCTCACAAAGTCAGGTTTTCTGAGCAGTTGACCTCTTGATAACAGAAGGTCAATCTTCTCTCTTACACCGTCCTTAAAGTTTTACTCTACGTCTTGAAATCTGTATACAGAAATAAATGGAGGCAAAAAGAAAAAGAAAAAAAGGAAACTTTTCCAAAAGCAATAGTGGCTACTGCACTCTTGTTAGCACTGCTAACCTTGAAATGCTTTTTAAATTACTTCTGTCATACCAGTCTTGGTCGCCTCTTTGCATCTATTAGAAAGATGTGGATCACCTCTGCATGTCTGACGAACCCAATCCTCTTTCCGATTATCACCCTTTTCTTCATAATTACCTGTCAAATCTCCCTTTATATTGGTGATATTCTAAATTACTCAGATTCTTTCTCACTGTCTTGCTAGAATTAAACGTGGTATTGACCTATTGGCGTTTTTGTTTATTTCCAAATGGATTTATTCATATTTTTATTCCTCAAACGAAACTCACTCCGACAAAACCATCAAAGTTATATTCTACAGCCAGAAATGCCCTACATATTGTGAAGCGGTGCTTTAGGTGAGGCAGCTGTAGTTTGTTGTGCGATAATGATAGCTTTCAGTTCAGGCCTCGTTGACCACCTGGCAGTCAGATGAAGCGCTTTTCATGTCGGCATTTTTTATTCGGTTGCCTTTTTATTTACTTTATGTGCGAGCAGTAAATGTGTAATTATGAAACGCAGCTGCTAATGTCAGTGATCTCCGACCTAATTCATGTCCCCTTTGCCCCGCTTTATTGATTGTTCCTGACTATTAGAGAAGGAAGAAAAACTTGGCTTCTCGTGGGCAAGTCTTGAAACCTTTATACAGAAATAAACTTGTACATAAATGGCAAATATCGAGCCAAAAGGGGAATGGGGGAAGGAAAAAAGATGAGAACACAGAGAATTTGCCAAGCAGAACAATTTTTATTGCTTAAAAACAGACGAGGGCTGAAAGTCCTCCGTTAACGGCTCTGAGTGAAACCAGCGGTGTTGCTGCAGTCCCCAGGCGATGGTGAAGTGTTTGCGTAGCTCGTGCCTCCTCTCTGCCTCTTTGTGTTTCTGCTTTGAACCATGACAAGACAAATGCTGAGAATGTGAATAGAATAAATGAAGAAAATGTTTGCAAAATTCTAGAGGGACATGGCCGCGGATGTTCTCATTTTCTCCCTTTTTGTTAATTTTTCTAACCTTTTTCCTAAATTTAAAAACATTCCCTCCCTCCCTGTTTTTTATTGTTAGTTTTCCATGTTTCTTTTATTGTTTTTTTCCATTTTCTCCTTGAGTTGCAAAAAACATACAATTCTAATTGTTGACTTTTTTTTCTTCATATGCTTGTGTCTTTGCTAAAGTAATCCACAAACTTCCATTTAATCCATTATTGTTTCTTAAGCCTCTTTTTAAGTCATTCTCCAGTATTTTTTTCTACTATTTTCTTTCACCTACATGGCGTTTGAGTTACTTTATCAATATAGGCTCATGCTGTGTGATAACATTGTGAATAATATTGTTAAGAGAAAATTAAATTTGTGAAATTGAGTTAAAAATTGAAGCGGGGAACGTGTGGCCTGTGTCTGCACATGAGTGTGTGGGGATATCGACTTACCGGTCACAAGCATTTCCAACTACACACACACACACACACACACACACACGTTTGTGTTGCTATCTTTGTGGGGACTTTCCATTGACTTCCATTCATTTCTACAGCCTAAACCTTACCTTTACCCTTTTCCTAACCCTAACCAAAACTCAATTCATACCTTAGCCCTAACTCTGACCCCTGACCCAAAAACAGGGTTTCCCATTGTGGGGACCAGGCTCCGGTCCCCACAAGGAGCAATTGGTCCCCACAACATAGTATATGTCAGGAAAATCGTCCCCACAAGGTATTACAAATGCACGCGCGCACACATACACACACACACATAGGAACTCACGCACACACACTAAACCTTTTCCTCCTCACACACTTTTCGTATCTTGTCTTATTTTTTTGGATACTATAATCCAGAAAATTTCCTTTAGGAATAATAAAACATGTAATGGAAATACTTTCAAAGTCAACAATGCGACATTCTCAAATCTCGCATTTGTGTAATTGTTTTAATTCTTATCGCAGACATGTCTTAAATCTATTTTTTCTTTAAAGAAAATAGTTCTATTCTAACTAGTGAATCCCTTGTTTTCACAAAATGCCTGAATTAATTTGTCTTAAATTTTACCAGAGCAAAGTAAGTCATAATTGCTAATCGGAATGAAAATGGACACATTGTTTTCAAAATTGTCTATAAGAAGACACCAAAGTAGTAAAGAGAGCATATCTATCTACGTGTAAGTTAATTTCTTGTTAAACCCAGATGTTTTAATAACAACCTGCATTATGAAGACCAAGAAACACATCAGACATGGATCAGGTTGTGAAAACGTTGCATCCTAACGTCTGAAGATCTCATAGTGCACTTTAGTCTATCAAGTGAACAAATGGAAAGATTACAGCAAACCTACTGACTCATGGCCGTCCACCTAAACAGACAACATTAATCGAAGAAGGAGCCTTAACATTTTCAAATAAAGGCCACTAGAGCCAAAAAAACAAACAAAACAAAACCTTTTAAAGAAAAGAATATGCAGAATCAGTCTCATCTTCTGTAGGAACAGCAAAGTTGTTCAGAACTGATAAGAAGATGAATTCAGGGCAATGCTGAAGGAAAACTTGCAGAGAAATCAGTGTTGTACAGCTAGAGCTACAATGGAATAGCTTAAGTTATGTATAATTATGTGTTAAACAGTCCAGACCTGACTCCAATTAAAAGGTTGTCACAAGATTTGAAAACTGATATTTGTTGATGTTCTCCACCCAATCTGACTGAACTTGAGCTGTTTTGTGAAGACAAATATTGCAGCTCTTTTAGTCTCTAGATTCGCAAAGAGCTGTTAGAGCACATCACAGAAGACCTGCAGGTTTAACTGAAGCAAAATATGGTTTTGCAATGTTTTGACTTAGGAAGCTCAAGAAAATGTATACCACACTTTGAAAAAAAAAAAATCAATTTTCTGTCTTACAATCATCTCTTTCATAAAATCTTAAAGACGTACTCTGAAGTTTGAGGTTACGGTGTGACAAAGTATAAAAAACTTAAAATGATACGAGCAATTTTGCAAGACATTGTTCGCAAATTGGTCAGCATTTATAAATTGTGCAACTGTGTCACGTTTGCTGGTAGGAGAATCTGCACAAACTACATTTATTTATCCAAAATGAAAATACTCCCGTTTGGAATAAAAATCCCTAAAGTACTCCAGCGATGGCAGTGATGAATCTATCTTACTACTATACGGGTTGCACTTTGCCAGAAAGCTCTCCATAGATCACTCAGGGTTACCGATATGACAGCCAACGTTTATTCCTCAAGAGGTCCTACACAGTATAATAAGATTTCGACATACCACTGAAGGCACGACTCCAAGTTCAAACTCATTGTTCTTCCAGGAAAGCCAGCAGATGACTGAGCAATATCTGCTTGTCCTGTTTTTTTTTTTAAATTTTTAAATTTTTTAATTTTTATTTTGCAATGACACGGAGTCTCTGATTTGCTTTGCAGAAACAAAACTGTGATGTCAGCACATTTCAGGGGTGAACCGTGTCCTTATCTAAATAGTGAACATACGCTCTGATCAGATCTGAAGCAGACCGTTTAGCTGTTTTTCTCTTGTTTGTCTTCCAGTTAATGGGGCCTACTGCTCGGAGAAGGATGCCAGCTCTGAGCTGAGCAGTGCCGAGGGCACCCTAATGCGATGTGGGCAGAGCCTGCCACTGCCAGCGGGGGGCCATTCAGAAGGGCTCTACCCCCCGAGCCTCCACTGCAGCAGACCAGCATCCGACCTCCTTCTGCAGGATGGCCCGCACCACGAAAGCAGGTAAAACTGTCGCAACTGCTTGCTTTTTAAAAAAAAATTTCATTGAAAGTTGTAAATATATCTTAATTTGAACATAGTATTTCTGATAAAATGCTGATAAATCATGTTGACACGAGTTATCGTACATTATTTACACAAATGCAACTAATCGCTATGCAAGTCTTTAATGTTTTGAAGAAAATCGTAGCAGATTTCTTGATAGCAGCTTTAACATATTTGTTAACATTCTATTCTTTCATGTTTTCTCTCAATATCATCTATAGAGCCAAACAGGTAAAGGTGCTTCTGAATAAAACGAGAGGGTGACCAAGTCTTTTATTAAAGACGCTGATGACATGGTCTCCCAGTTCTTCTCTCCAGTCCTGACTAGCGTTAGCTCTGTTCTTTCTTTTCCTTCCCTGGTAAACTCAGAAACTCAGGGGAAGGGACAAAGACGATAGCTGCGTGAGACAGACAGGAGAAAAACGAGCTCTTCTCACATCACTCAGGGGCTTTGGACAAAATCCATAATGAGCCAGCTGACAGGAACGATTATGTCTGAGATCACAGCAACGCATGGGGAAACATGACCCGGGTTATCCATTCAGGAGGGCAAAGATTCCCACCATAATACACAGTATTGTAAACGGCGACCCTTCATAGGGCGCAATTATGCCACCAAAACAGGTGACTCCTTATTTATCCCCAATGCTGGGTTGGGTTTAACCCCTTTGTGTCATCAAAGCCCGTCAGATGGACACACTAGCCAGGCCTCTCGGTCTCAGAAGCCACCCTTACCTCCCCCGCCTCACTCTTCTTTGTCTTAAATGCTCATTCATATCCTCTCACTACAAGAAGATCCTGTTTCAGTTATTCATAAAACAACTCTGGATCATAGACAGGCTGTGCTCCGTGATTTGTAACATAACTTTTCAGTTTTGTTTCATTTGTAACTCCGCCATGATGAACATGAGGTTTGTCTGAAACGTTCTGAGAAGAACGAATCAGTCTGTCTGTCAGCGGAAATAAAACTAGTGCAACTCATATTGCGTCTCCCTTACAGAAGCACCTCCGCCTTCCAGAGAGCCCCGCCTGGTGCCAACATGGCTCGCTCCTCTGCCCCTTACCCGATTAAGCAGGAGAACTCAATCGGACACAAGACCGCCGGCGTTCAAGGCCCGTCTCAGGCTGCGTTCCAGGCCTGTAGGGCAGATCAAGCTTTGGAGGCATCGAGAGACGATGTGGCTACGGCCCTGCATGCTAGCACTAACGGTAACAGCGTATGCACGGCGAGCTGTGCAGGTAGTGCAGTGTCAGGAGACGCGGTGCAACCTTTTAATAATGGAGATGGCTCCTCCCCACTGGCTTTGTCCCCAACTGGCTCCCATCATTCAGCGCGTCTGCTCAGTGCTAGCGATGTGAAGAGACGCTGCCTTTCCCTGGCCTCACAGTCCACTGTCGCTGCTGGCACCAGCAGCGTCGCCCCAACGGGTTCCCCATCAGCCACTGGCACGACCTCCAAGGAGATCAATATCACCGCAGCCGTCTGCTCCTCCTCCCAGATGTCGATGGTTGCCTGCGTCAACGGATTCCGCGCTAACCTCTCCCCCAGCAACGCTAGCAGCGCCGGCTTGTCTACATCGTCCTCCTCCTCTTCTTCTACATCCCCACCCTCTATCTGCTGCCAGCGGGAGGCAGCCCGGAGACCCCCACGTCACAGCAGCCCCCAGCAGTCGTCACTACAGGAGAGCTGTCAACTGTCTTCACCTGCCACCTGCCTCCTGTCCCTGTCTGCGTCCTCCTCCTCGTCCTCTTCTTCGGCGTCATTAGTGGAGCCGGAGACAGGCCTAGGGCAGAGCCTGGGGCTTTGCGAGGAGCAGGTCCCCATGCTGCGGGGGCTTGGGGCTGGAGGAACGGCCGAGGAAAGTGAAGAGAGAGGCTTGGATGGATTGGGACTACTGATGAGTGGGGCCCTTATGTCAGGGACATTGAGCTCCAGTTCTGACGCTGGTTGCCTGTTGGATGGAGGTCAAAGATGTGGGGCAGCTCTCAAGCAGGAACCTCTTGATGACTTCTCTCCAAGTGAAGACGAACTCTTCCAGCACCACTATCACCACCATCATCACCTAAGTGGTCGCACTGGGCACCACCGTCACACCCCCCACCCATCTCGATCTGCCATGCCTCCTCCCTATCACCTGCACCAATACCCGGGCCCCAGTCATGGGGGGCCACTGCAGCACCAGAGTCAGCAGACAACACAAGCCTCCTCTCTGGCATTAAAACAAACCTCGGGAGGCCCCCCCGCCACCCACACGGCCTCGGAGCATGAAGAAGTCAGAGGAGGAGCGCAGACGGATAGGCAGGTGTGTCGCTGGATCGACTGCAGCGCCGCTTACGAGCAGCAGGAGGAGCTCGTCAGGCACATTGAGAAAGTCCACATTGACCAACGCAAAGGAGAGGACTTTACCTGTTTCTGGGCCGGCTGCATTCGCCGCTACAAGCCCTTCAATGCCCGTTACAAGCTGCTGATTCACATGAGGGTCCACTCGGGGGAGAAACCCAACAAGTGCATGGTGAGTCACCAAAAAACAAACCAATCAGTTACCATTCTGCGGAAATGGTGGTCTGACGTTCGACCAATACGTTTAAAATAACTGAGTGTTCCCTCATTGTCGCCTTTCAGATTTTCTTTAATATATTTTTTGGTTTTCGAGCCTGACGTCCTCAGAATAATGTTTTAAAAAACAAACAAACAAAAAAACAACTGTATTTATAGAAAAATACACACCAATTATGTAACTGTAGATTAAAAAAATAGAAATGGATTATTTATCTGAGCACGGTGAGGTTGCATTTTTCGTTAAAAGTATTGTAGCGAAACATAATTTTCCTCACAACTAAGTAAAATTACACGGTCTGCTGCATGGTTAACTCCACTCCATCAAAAATAAACAGATTTGAGATTTAAATTGGAGCTCTACCAATTTTTTTATTGGTAGAGCTCCAGTTTCACAAGTGCTCTCACAGATCAGCATGAAGCTGTCACTCCTTCCACGTCCGTTTACAAATGGGAAAATTCCCTCAACCTTAGGACAGATTTGGTCCAAGCACACTATTAGTCCACAATATATGTAGGGCTGAAGTCTCGTTTGTTTTCACAAGTGCTCTGTTGTTTTTTTTGTTTTTTTTTTGAGAACAGATTAAAATTCTGAAAATCCAACACATATGGGAAACATAACCAAACAATGCCTACACTTGATCCGTTTAAATGGGAGCTCTAAATTTTTAGCTGTCTCACAAGTATGAAGTGAATTGACTTCAAATCCAAGCCACACACAAGTAGAAACGTAGTAATCTGGTTGAAGAGAGTCAGGGAGGGATGGTCTGCAGTATTTCCTCAATATGATGTTTTTCACTTTTTAACACAAGTTTATCTATTAGTGGATTTTTCTGTGGAATGTAACTTCCAAATTATTCACAATTTCTTTTTGCCTGTTTGCAGATCTTCTGGTAGAGCACATCTAGAATGTTTGAGAGAAAATGCAACTTTGGAAGCTGACGTATCTTGGCACACTATTGTCTATTGTCTGCAAAGCAGCCAAATTCAGGAGCTCCATTTATTTCCCATGGTGCTAATTGGCAGTATACCTCCAAGAGCAAATATAAGGAAGACCAAGGATGTTAGCTTCTGTGGATGTGCTTAGAGATAGTTTCCACTGTGCACCATTGATGCATATAAAGATATATTTGGTAGTTTGAACTATTAAACCAGGGTGTTTTATGTGTCTTTGGATAGGTCTCCAGTATTCACAAATTTCAGCTTTTTGCAGGTGGTTAAGGTTCCTAACCCCTGCAGATACGGGGGGTGGGGAGTAAAGTTTGCTGCTAAAGCAGTTTCAAAAAGATTTTATTTCAATGAAGTGAGTTTTCCACACTCACTTCATTTTTGGGAGATAAATGACTATATAATACGCTGCATGTTTTTGTGTATATAAGGCCGGGTTGCGGTGGGGGCACCACGAAGCATTTATGTTTAGGGTACCGAAATGGCCGGCAGCAGCAGTCCAGTTTACTAACCCTATCCATGGCGCATCGGCCAAAATCAGTTGCTCACCCATTTACGGAGCACTGCAGAGGATCTTACGTTATGATTTATCTTTATTTGTAGTCTGGCTACTTTGTGTAAAGTTCATGTAAGCAATTATTTCTTGCATGGAAAATATGTATATGTTGGACAAAAATTTGGGGGTAGGGGCTCGTTGGTGTTTAAGGAAGTTGAAACCCCTAAAATAAGCCCAATTAAATCTGTGCCACTAACTTTGTCTAATTTTTTTTTCTTGTAGACTCAAAAAAGTGTTTATTTATAAAATATGTATATAATTCCTTAAGCAGACTTCTCTTGAGAGGTTCTAAGGAATTAATATGTTTGGCCTGGAGTAAAGTACAACATTTCAAATAGAGTGTACATCAACTTTGCTTGCATTTAAAGTGCTGAACATTTTAAGATTCCCTGCTTGAGGTCCACAATAAAGGATTTATATAACGGGGGACTGTGGTTTCATGCTTATGTAACGCAGTTGTGTTTGAAACAAAAGGCAAAATTATTATATTAGTTTATATAAACTGTTCTGCATGCATTAGTATTTCATCAATTTACATTCGTGTTCTGTTCTCAGTTCATGTTGCACACAGGAAGCTTAGTGGTGGCGCACCGCCTCCGCTGGTATTTCATGGTGAGGGATGTCCAAATTGTAGAACGCAGGTTCTGAAAATAACCTCATCCTGATGATGACTTTGAGATTGTAGTTGATTCAGGACGGTTGAAGTGGTTTTAGCCCCTCTCAGACGGACTCCTGGACAAACTAACCTGCATAGATACAGAATGAAGATGCTATGAGAGTTAGCCGCTGTAAGTAAGATATTAACTGCTTGTGTCTTTAAAACATAACCCCCACTTCAGTAAGCTTAGACTATCACTTTCAGCAAATATTCTGCACATATAAAAACCAAAAGTGTCTGCATGTATTTGGAACTTAGCTCAAAACTTTCCAAAATCCCTTATTTTTTTTTATTTTTTTTTTTGTGTGTGTCTGAGTCCCTGGACCTTTTTGCCACTAGCCCTGATGCCACTTATTTTTGTTTTGCTCATGCAATAGACTCAGGCATTCGAGTATTTGAGCTATTCGTGTAGAGGAAACAGTTGAGACATTCTGTTTTAGGACCCAGCTCTACAGAAAAAACAGGTCTAATCCTTTTATTATCTTTCCAGCGGCAGCTTCCAGCAGGCGCTCATGAAGCAGGGCTCCGCTGACATCCAAACATAACACACCTCTCTCTCCTCTCGGCCTCGCTGCAAACAGTATATACTCTATCTCCCTTCTCTTCATCCAGCTGGACAGCATTTGCTTCACGCTGCGTCTTGGCAAGAAAAAGTCATTATCACAACATATGAGCCGTGCTTTGAACCCCGAGGAGGCCTTGTCACACTCCGTACCTGGATAGCATTTTAAGGACTTACCCATTCAAAATTATACACCAGGTCCTTCCCATGTGTAGATGCTCAATTTTGAGGGTCACGAAAACCTCTGCTGATGAAAGTTAGTTTGGTTCCCACTCTCCCGCCAATTAAAGCTGGTCCTGGGTTGTTGTGCAGAGGCCAGCACCGAGGGACATGTGGCCAAAAAGGAAACAACATAATCTCTCCGCAATATCCTGTTGTGTTTCATACCTAATTCACTTGTTATTTTAGTTTATTACATTTTTTTTTATGCGTCTGCATAAATATTAAAAATATATCCAGGAGGAGGAACCCTGTCATGGTCTCGGACTTTGATATTGCTCTTGCTTTGTCAGAGGCCAGCCTGTAGGATTTGTTGTGTCTGAAGGCTGCGACCGTTGGCTGCAGAGTTCGGAAAATATCTTCCTAAAGCAGGGAGGATGAGAGTCTGAGCGAGGACTTGCATGGGAACATGACTTCAGGCAAAAGTGCTGCGCCGCACTCTTTATTTGGTTTGTCTTGCATCGAAAGAAAAATACAGCTTGTCTTTACATTTGTGTTTTCTCTTTCAGGTGTAGTGCAGAAATATGGTTGATGTCAAGTAACAGGACTGTTCTGTAATATGTCACAGAGTCAGAACAGCTTCAAGATTAATCCAACACATTTTTTTTTTTGTCAAATTGATGACAGCCCACTACTATCTCTCTGGATTCTCTACATTCTCTCTTCATCTCATTGCTCGAGTGTTTTGTAGGATCTACGTCCGTAAACTAAAATGGTCATGAAAGAGAGCAGACATTTTTTCTGCTTATTTCCAAAGTCCAGCATTTTTTTTATTTTTTATTTTTATTTAAAAAGTCCTGCTATTTTAGAGGTAATGATTCTATGCACTCTGCAAGGTTCACAAGAATAAGACAAACGGGCCCACAGGACCATAGGACCTCCTCCATGCCTAGGCTGGAGGTCTCTGGTTGTAAGAGTCATTTTTTTAAAATCCTCTACCATTTTCCCCACTGTGCCCATTACTTCTGCTACTGAGAAAAGCTTGTATCCACTTCCAGTCATCTGTCCCTTTTGTTCTGACGGCAGACAGTCATTTTGTAGTTCCAAAAATAAATCGCCCAACGCGATCTTTATGTTTCACAAATATTCAAAGTTGTCATTAATTATAAACTTTGTTCTAAAGAGTACTACTTTAGCGTAGAATAATCCACTTTGCTAAGTCTGAGTATTTAAAACTTTGAACTAGGTGAAGACCAGATTCCTCAACAAAGTAATAAAACAGTCCTTTAAATTTAGCACCAATTAGAAAACTAGGACTTGGACACCAGCTTCAGCATCTTTACCAATTCTTTGTTTATGGCCATATATTTTAAAGGACCCATATCCTCTTGAATGTAGGTGTGAAAAAGGCAATGAATAATCCTTCAGGGGACAATTGACAGATTTTCTTTCCTTGTGTGAAATTATTCTACACAAGGTAAATTTATTTTTAAGACTTCTAACACACACTTTTTTTTTTTTCTGGAGTTGAAAACATGTCCGGAGGTTTTCTTATGCTTGATAAAAACAAATAATGAGGCCTAGCCATGACCTGCAGCCTAATGAGCATTAGTACAAGAACATACTGTACATGTGTGTATACAAACAAACACTAAAGCATGTGCCCTCTGACACACACACACGCAGCCAAACGCACTTGCTGAGTGAAAATTGGATGTTCAGCCGTCCTGGAAAAATAAGCATTAATCACTGAATTTCTGTTTTTTTGTTGTTTTTTTTTTTGTTTTTTTTTCCACTGATGTAACAGCTGTTAACATATATATTTAGATTTACTGGACTGATTTTTGGAAGAGAGTGGTGAAATTTTCTTTGATGGCAGAGCCATAGCCAGCTGCCAGGATGCAGCGCGCACGCGCGCGTGTGTGTGTGTGTGTGTGTGTGTGTTTTCAGGGGTAAATGGACTCTTTTGTGAGCAATCGGCTCAGGTGCAAGAGATAAAACAGGGAGTTCCATTAGCTAATTAAAGTGTGGTTCAGCACATGTGCAAACTTTTCCTCTGGATGCTGGCCTGAA